GCTTTGAGCTAGCTTTTTGGCATTTTTAGCTTTGAGCTAGCCTTTTGGCATTTTTAGCTTTGAGCTAGACTTTGGTACTTTCAGCTTTGAGCTAGCCTTTTGGTACATTTAGCTTTAAGCTAGCCTTTTGATACTTTTAGCTTTGAGCTAGCCTTTTGGTACTTTTAGCTTTGAGCTAGCTTTTTGGCATTTTTAGCTTTGAGCTAGCCTTTTGTTACTTTTATAGGGGCAGCTGTGGCTGAGTGGTTAGAGCAGTCGTCCTCCAATGGGAAAACTGGGGGTCCGATTCCACCAGCAGTCACATGCCGAAGTGTCCCTGGGCAAGACACTGAAGCCCTCATTTCCTCCCGTGTGTGTCCATCAGTGTCTGGATATGAGCTAAAGCTCTGACTAGTCTCGACAGATCCGGATCATGTTTGTAGAGAAAGTGCTTTGAGTATCTTGACTAGATAGAAGTGCTACATGAGAACAGTCCATTTACTTTTAACTAGCATTTCGGGTGTTTTCTTGTGGCTGCTCCCTGTTTCAAGGGTTACCGCAGCAATCAAACTCGCATGAAGATCTGGTGATTGATGCCCATCCTGACACAACCACTGAGCTACTACAGCCAGCTGTGGTGCCCCAGAGGTGCATCTGGGGAGTTAAGGGCCTTGCTCAAGGGCCCATCTTGCTACTTAAGGTGTGCCCCATTTTGCCCAGTGGGACCAATGAGGGTGGGTGCAGGTGGAGGTGATTCACCTGCACCCACATTTTGTTGTAACAGTCTGGGGATTTGAGCCTGCGGCATCCTAACCACAAGCTCATCGTCTCTAACCTCTGCGCCACCACTCACCCAGCGAACATTTTGATTTGTATCATTTAGCTTTTATCAAGCCTTTGGCTACTTTTGGCATTAGTCTAGCATTTGTGATTCTGGCTTTTAGCTAATGTGCAGATTTCAGCTTCTCATTTCTCTGGTTTCATGTCATCCATGGCTGCAGTGGTTCACAGTGGCAACTTTAGCCTCTTTTCAGGGGTGCACCCCTGAACAATAAAGTAAAAAAAAAAGAGATAAAGTTTTTCTTTGTGTGTGTGTGTGTGTGTGTGTGTGTGTGTGTGTGTGTGTGTGTGTGTGTGTGTGTGGCTTTGTTTGGGTTCTGTTTATTGAATTTATGATTCAACAAAATAAACACATTTAAAGGACAGATCACTGTAAAACTTGGTTTATTTGTTACAGAATTACTTTAATCGCTGGATGCCTGGCCCCTGAGCTGCTCTCAGTAACTGTGGCCCCTGAGCTGCTGCTCTCAGTAACTG